AAGGTGTTCTCTGGATGTGGCAATGCTTCTCACTGTCCTACTCTGTTGAGTGTTGTGTCTGTAATAAGTGCATGGGTTTTTTTTCTTCCCCTAACGAGTCTGCCTTTTGCCCGTGACCATGATGGGTGATCTGCCCCTCCCGGTCCTATCTCAAATCCCAAGCCTGGCTCATCTGTCCCTTCTCATTGTTGGAAGGGAAGGGGGAGTGAGTGGCTGCGTGGTGTTTGGCTGCTGACCAGGCTTAGACCACAACAAAGAGGTATACAGCTCTAAGATAACTTTTCCTTCAGATAGGTTGAAATTAGTCAATTAATTCAATAGAAACATAGTGAAAGGACAGATAAAGAAGTGTGCACACAAACGTATGGATTGCTCATATAAGTTTTATTCCCTTAGGAAGTCAGGATAGAACATTTCAGTGATTAATATATAAACAGCAATTGCTCATATCCTGCAGACTTTCAGGAAATAACTGAAATCTGCAAGTAAATTTAACGGAGTCTGTAGCAGATAAAATTAACTGAAAGATGAAGATGTAATTGCCTGAGTCTGTACACAAAGTCAAGCTGAAAAATAAATGGCAGGTCCATTTTCCTGTTGACTGTTAAAGCTAATTATCTGGGGTAATGGATTTGTTTCAAGAAATAGGAATGTGAATCTCAGAATTTGAAAAAGTTTGTAATAAGTAGAAAAGGAAAGTGATTTCTCAGATAGATTACCATCCAGCTACAATACTTCTGGGCCAAATTTGCCCTTTTGAGGATCATATGGAAGTGTGAAGTTTCTGCATAGTGCTGAACTAGACAAGGGTAACATTATGTATTTGATAGTTTCACCCAGCGTTCTCCTAGGATCTGGCTTTGGATGGAGTTTCCCATTACATTAAGTTGATGGCCCAGAACAAATACGATCATGCTGTAACCCTTACATGGTGCTCAGTCTCAAGACAATTTAGTTATTTAACTAATGTCCTCCAATAGCCATGGTGTGTAGTACAACAGGAATGATAGTTATTTCCTGCAGCGGGAGAGTGAGGCCATGGGTGATGCCCTTGCAGCAGCAGAATGGGTGCAATAGGGGAGATGGTGGGGTCCATGGCAGCTGGGAGGGCCAGCTGGACTGTGAAACTGGGAGGACTGGAAAGAATGGAAAACCAGCAGCAATAGCAGAAAAATAGCAGGTAACAAACAGGAAGTGAGGAGGAGTTACAGTAAAATAGTTGAAAGCATGTGAGGAGAGCAGCATGCCTGATGCTGACACTGGCAGACAGAACTGCTAGGAATGCTGCGATTGACAACACATGCTTTCAACAGTGCACCGTGGTGAATGGATTCTGGGCCGCCAGACAGGACTGCTGTAGTGCAGCAGTAGCAGGTGCCAAAGAAAAGCAAAATGCTCATTTCTAGTAGTTTGAGAGCTACCCAGGCTTGTAGTTGTACGTAGTCTCTGTCGCACCACTGCCTGGTGCAGCTTAGCTGTCACTGTGTCTTAAAGCTCTTCTGTGAGAGCAGGCTAGCCCTCAGTAACAGACAGGTTTTGCTTCCTGCACTCCATACATCAGCAATCTTTGTGTGCAACAGGCAGTGAGGCGCTCTTACGAGAAATTGAAGCACAGGGACCTACCAGAAGTAGCAGAGACCTGGAGTGTCAATCTAGGGAGGGGCTAGGTAGGTCATTCCTGATTTTTTCAAATCAAAGCATTAGTAACCTGTCCTTGCAAACAAAGAAACAAAATATAAGGACTATAGGTCTGGAAACACTGGATTAGACAAGAGCTAAAAATCAGAATACTGAAGAAACTGTGCAATAGTGCAAATCCTAAATGGGTACAGAAAGCCCCTGAAATCATATAGTTTAGAAGACGGAATGGATCTGGAAGGAACAAAGAAAGGGGAAGACCAATGGCTTGATAGCAGGTAGAATACAAAGATGAAAAGGATGAGTTAGAGATGTAGCAAACAACCCTACACATGGGAAGAGATAAAAGATATTGGAATAATTAAAAAAAGGGAATTACAGAGATCTGGAATGGGTAAGGATCAAAGAGAGGGAGAAAATTTAAAAGTCTTAACCCCATCTGAGAAGTATACATCAGAACATAAATCCATGTTTTTAATCATTTATTTTTCCCATCAGTTGAAAACTAATGAAGCCTATGCAAGCAATTAGCTTTAGGTAGATCACAGGAAAACTGTAATATTCTTTTATGCCATCATTCTGTCACAAGTGATGATACATGATTTATGTGAAACATTTGCTGGAGAAAAGCCATCAACATTAATAACTTTGTATCAATAGAAGAAAGCAGCAGCTCCTGTGGCCTCCCTTCCTTTCTCTGTACTAAACAGATCTCTTGCTGTAAAATGTCGATTGCAATCCACAAATTGAATTTCTTTTTAGCTTGAGTTCACAGCTGGTGTTTAGTTCTTTTTCACTCTATTTGCATCCCAATAAACACTGTCATTAATCCGTGTTTCCTTATCAGGAGCTGTTCTAATTAGGCTGTTCTAAAAGTTGGGATAATCAGTAGAGTTTGCTTTTTACATTTATACACAACAGGTAGCTTTCCATTGTAAAACATAGTTTGTGTTTTATGGCCTGAGTGGATAAACTCTTCTTAAATGTCAGTTTAAACTCTGTTCCGTATCAGTATGTCATGACAAGCAGCAGTTATACACAGAATCCCACTGAAGTTGGTGTGGCTACTAATTTGACTATACAATATGAATTAACATTGTCAAAAATGAAAAATGTGACAGTTTCTCCACCCGTCTAAAAAAAATACTGAAGAAGACTACAGATAGACAAACAAGCTCCCGCTTTTCAATAGATACTGAACAAAGTTGAATTGTGTTTTAATTTATATTCTGTTACATAACCCCCTTCCATCCTCTGCTGTAAAGCACTACAATGAACAGTTTTTGAAGCAGGTTCCTATTTTTATAAAAGCCTCTCACCTGTTCCAGCAATCGGGAAACATATTCACATCTGGAAGACAGCAGCCAGCCCCAACAGTATTTTGTATTTATCATTCTGCTGGCATGCCTGAGTTTCATTTTCGCTTTCCACTAAGGTAGACAGTGCACATAGTATTACTGAAGGGAATGACTGAGACACAGCCCCAAGGGCTGTGTTTCTTGGTTTGCTTCAACTGGGCACCACAACACACAGGAAATTCTTCACTGGGAGGGAGGTGAGACCCTGGCCCAGGCTGCCCAGAGAAGCTGTGTCTGCCCCCTCCCTGGAAGGGTTCAAGGCCAGGCTGGACGGGGCTGGGAGCAACCTGATCTAGTGGAAGGTGTCCCTGCCCATGGCAGGGGGGTTGGAACTAGATGATCTTTAATGTCCCCTCCAACCCAAACCATTCTATGAATCTATTAAAATACCCTTGCATAATAGCCCTCAGTGAGAATTTTACTGTCTGTTCCCAAACTTGAAAAGATAAGAACGTGACAAACTCAGGCATGAAAACTGGAACACAGGATAAGTCACAAGGTCCCAATGTCCTGGGTGTCCCTTGATTTTGGTCATGAAGCAAACATTAAGAACTTATTGTATGACTGCATTTCAGTTGGGATTCTAACAGTGGAGTCTTTGTATGATATTTGTGTACAATATTGTTCTCTTCGACTTCTGCTTCATGAAATATGCTCCCAAACATGTCTACAACAAAATTTTGTCTTTAAAAAGCATTAAAGCCACCAGTTAGGATAGAAAACAGTGACCCCATCAATTCGTATCTTCCTAAATTCACCTAGCTTTTCTCCTAATGAATATAGGATGTCATTACTTTGCTGTGCTTTTGCGTGAGCTAACTTGCTGCATCAAACCCTTTTACTTCAATAGAATTGCAAGCATTTGTCTTCACAGGGTCAGTCTTCTACATAACAAAATGGGGCCAAGCAATTTTTCACACAAAACTTCAAAAATACTATCATTCCTACATCAGTGTATCAGAAGTCATACATTAGAGTAACGTGCTTGAGCAATAATATACAGGTTCTTTCAACTAGGGCTAGCTGAGCTTAATAACCATCTAATACCTGTTCACCAATATGTATGAAATTATTTGGTATTTCTGTTTTGGCAGTACAGACTATATGGCTAATGATGAGGTGAGCATGAAAAGTGACCACTTTGGCACAGCTCTTTTTTTGTGAAGTTGACAATTATTGTTATACCTCTTTTCCATCTGTAATGACACAGGAAATCATAATAATAATTAAAAAAGGCTTAGCTATGCCCTGTGTATCCAAGACATAGCTAACATCAGTCTTCATAAAGGCTACACTCAAAATTTATGCTTTACTTCCCAAAATTCAGTCATCCTAAGCTAAACTATTCACAATATATGAATTTAAAACATGATAAAAGAATGCCATTTTCCCTTGGTTCTAACACCCAAAAACATCCCATGCAGGTTTTTACTCAGACTTGGCTTAAACATACTTTCTTTCCTTGCTTGGATGCATAGGGCACCGATGAGAACATGAAAAGAATATAAAGGAGGATGGTGGAAAGCTGGCCTATTCTGCTATCGCAATTCTTATTCTCCTGTACCTACACCTGAGATCACGCAAGCCCCAAAAATTCCTTCCCCCGGTCAAAACCCAAATCTGCATAAAAGCAGCAGTCCATTATCAGAGCAATAAATATTAGTGAAAGAACAGTGATGAAATAAACAATGAGGAATTGAAGCTGCATGAAGAACTTCAGCCCCAAACATTAAAAAAAAAAAAAAAAAAAGACAAAAGAATTGTAACTGGATTGCAATCACTGCTATCTGCTTTTTCTACTCTGAACCGCAGTTCTAAAACCCACAGAACTTTACACTCTCGCGCGCCTGTAGCGTTGTTACTGCCCGTTACTGATGCATGCCGAACAGAGCAGCTTTTCACCTCGCGTGTTCACGAGAAGACATAGAAATTAGAGTAATTCCGTCCATTTCCTCATTTCTTACGGTTTTTATTACCAGCCGTGAGCATTTAAACCAACGGATCAACAAACCGACGCATAACGTCTGACCAAAGAGCCGCAAGCTTTTGCCCCCTTCTCTTCACAAGATTTGGGGGGGGGGTGGCCCGGGGACCCTCCGGAATGGAGCCCCCGGACAGAGACCACCCGGCCCCGGCGGGGCCGAGACGCCTCCGGGCCCGGCCGCAGCACGGCGGGGCGGGGCGGGGCGCGCCGCGGGAACCGACGGGAGGTGTAGTTTCCCCCGCGCGGACTACATTTCCCGTGGAGCCGCGCGGCAGCGCGCCCGCCGCCGGTGCGCGTCAGCGGGCGCGGGCAGCCAATTGCGGGGCGGCCGGAGCGAGCGCCGTCAGCCGCCAATGTTGTTTTCGCTGAGTCGAGGCGCTGGTGTTGTTGGCGGCGGCGCCATATTGGAAGGGACGAGCCCCCCGTTAGCGAGAAGCCCCTTGGCGCTGGCCCGGCCGCCGCCATGCTGTATCTGGAGGACTATCTGGAGAGTGAGTGTGTGCGGGACGGGGGCGCCGGGCGGCCGGGCACTGCCGGCGGAGGGGAGCCGGGGAGGGGGGGGAGCCGCGGCGAAGAGGCGGCGCCCCCCTCCCCCACGGCAGTGACTGACTTCCTCCCCCCTTTCCCCCCCCCCCCCCCTCTCTCCCCGCTCCCCCGCCCCTCCCTGTGCCCGCAGTGATCGAGCAGCTTCCCATGGATCTGCGCGACAGGTTCACCGAGATGCGCGAGATGGACCTGCAGGTGCAGAGTACGTGAGTCCCCGCCCCTTGCGCCTCCGCCCGCCCCCTCCCTCCCTCCCTCCCCGCGCGCCGCCCCGCCCCGCCCCGCCAGCGGGGGGCGGCCGCGGCCACCCGCCCGCCCGCGCTGTGGGGAGGCGAAGGAGCGGGGCCGAGCGGCGCCGGGGCGCCCCGGCCTCTGTGGGCAGCTCCGCTCCCCGCCGCCCTCCACCGCGCTTTGGCCCCGCGGGCCTTCGCGCCCCTTCCCCACCCTGCGCTCCGGCTCTCCGGGGCGGGGGGAAGGGCATGGATGGATGGATGGAAGGACGGACGGACGCGTCTCGTCGGTACCGGGCGCCTGGCATCGTCTCCGGCGGGCGTGGGGAGGCGGCGCTGCGGAGGCCCGGCGCCGCGGCGGGAGGGGCGGGGCGCGCTGGCCTGGCGCTGTGGCGGCGAGCGGCGACGGGCAGCGGCCCCGCAGAGTCGCCCCCGCTCGCCCGCCGAGCCTCGGCGCAAGTAGGATCTTACAGGAGTTTCCCTCCTGGGCTTGTGCTGCTCCCAAAGGCATTTTTGGCGGCACGTCCCAAACTCTTTAGATTTTTGATCCCTAAGAGCAGTGATGGTGGTTTGGAACGTGAGTTATGTCCCGCTCCTTGAGCAGGTAGCGGCATGCTGTCTCTGAAACTTTCCAGCCAGCTCCCCTCATAATAGCATGTGTGAAGGTGCTTTTTGCTTAGCCTCTTGTGCCCTAGTTGACACTTAACCAAGCATACACGGTGCTTGAGTTTTCCTTGTGGATCACTTTGTGTATCTCTGCATATATCCTGATACAATACACTGTCTTACACTGTTGTCAGGATGTATTGCCTTTTCATCTTTTCTAAGGCAGTCTGATATGGGACTTAGGTGTCTTGTGATACCTGGTTAGGTGTTGCTGTCATTTAATGCACAATTAATATGTTCATCCCTAACTGTGATGCAAAGGTCTTTGTTGATGCAACTCTTCCTGTACAAAGGATGAAAGGTATCTTCAATACAGAAGGGTTGAACTACTGTAAAGAAGAGTGAGAGAAAGAGCAAGGGTTGGAATAACGGGTGAATGCCATACAGAAATACAAAATGTGGCAGTATGTGGGAACACAGTTCTTGAAGACAATAGTTTAACCTATAATACTGTGAAGTGTGATCTCAGGCTTTCCCCTGGATATTTACTTTAGTGGACCCAGCAGGCCTGTTTAGCAGACTTTATGGGCACATGCTGAACTGGTTGCAGGATTTTCTTGGATACTATGGCCTAAGTGTTGTCTGAGGTTCAGTGCTTAAAGTTGTGGGAACAGAGCAATGGCTCCTTATGGGAGATAACACCTCTGAAGTAACTATCGCTAGGGAAGAGCTCACTGACTCTGGTAGTTCTGAGTAAATTCACAGATTTTATTTCTGTTCACTAAGGAGGAGAAAAAGCAAGTAGGGTTTGGTTTGGTTGTTTTTTTTTTTTTGTTTTTGTTTTTTTTTTTTTTAAGTGTGTTTCAGAACTGAGCCAGCTAGCACTGCCAAGGTTGCAGTAATGTAATTTCCTCTACTTTAACTGGAAGTGGCAAATAACACTCTATATTATATACTGAGACCAACCTTAGGCTCAGAGAAAAAATTCTCTTGGACCTTGGTTCTTCTTGTAATTCTTGCACAACGAGTGACAAAACATCCAAAGACATTTACGAAACTTCTGGACTACCATCTCTTCAACATCAGTTGCCAAACTGTCAGCTGAATACTACAGGCCAACCTGGAGATTGTTCTCATGCTGCGACGTAGTGACCTGCTGTGAAGATTAAGTGTCTCTGAAGTACTTGAAAACAGTACTTTGAGTGATGCTGTCCCAGAAACCTCCCTGAGTTGTAATTCAGAGATAACTGTGATGCTGTGTTTTAGAGTCAGTGTTAACTTTATATTCTGTCCTGTTTGGACCAACATGGGCTATTAATGAAGCAGGTTCTGCTGTTGTCAGAAAAAATGATAAACCAGCTGTACCTACTGTATGTCCTGATAAGGCTACTGTGGGAAAGGTGAAGACCCTCTGAGTTGTGACTTGATTCTTGAGCTTTAACTGAGCTTCACGTGAAGTATAAAATATGTTTCTCTATTTAAATCACGGATTATCAGGTCTCCATGGTAAAACATCAAGCTCTGGAAAAAGACCTCTCGTAAAATAGAATTTCTGGCAACGCTAAGAAATTAGTATCTCAGAATATAGTATAGTAGTTGGATGAAAAAGGGGTAGTGGGGGGGAGTAAAGGTGAAGGAAATTCAGTGTACCAGAGAGAACTTTTCATATAATTTGATAGATCTGACTTGCATTCCCTTCTGCCATTTCTGCCCTTTCAGGAGAGACAAAGTCTCTGTGGAAGTTTTCTCTCATGCAATTTCACATAGACTGATACATGTCCTCCGTAAAGAGGGAAGATTTTACTTTTTTTTTCCTTCTCATGTCTATAGAGCCATTAGAATAATTATCACCTAGCTGTTTGCACTCTGAGAATAGGAGGTAGAAAATTTAGTCTGTTGGCTTTATGAACCAAATTACAGTAATTTGGTCAATGAAGAAAGCTTTTAGAAGCTTTCACGTAAAGTGTGTGTTTCTTGCTTGCTGCTCAGATTTCTTAATCTTCTCCCTGAATAACGCTGTGCAAGCAGAAAATGTTCATTGTACAGATTCTCTCATCTTTAAACTGTTTTGCACCAAGATTGTTTGACTATTTTCTTTGTCTGGGTCTAAATAAAGTTGATGTGAGTCTATGTCACAGCTCTTCTGGCTTGGGATTAATTGCTCTTTGTCCAGTCAGTTGTTAGGTTCGTGTTGGTTTTGATGCTGGACGTTCATAGCATAGGGAAAATTGATAAATGTTTTTGATCATTTAGTAATAAGTGATTTTTGGTTATTTATGTGAACAGTTAGTTCTAGTTGTGAATTTTCAGAGTGAGAAAACCTTTGGGCTCCATTGGATTGAAAAGTTAATCATACTTGGGGGATTCATGAGTTTCTTGAATTAGTTAACTTTTTTTTTTTTTTTTTAATAAGAGATGATGACCATCATGTGATCCAGTTTTAATGGTGGTTTCTGGAAAGTGCTGGAAGTGTTTTACATCCAGAGTTGGTGCATAGCCACATTTAATTTGAAACTGCTATCTGGACAGTATCGCTGAGAGTGCTGTGAAAAAATTTTCAGTATTATTATCTATCCTGAGACTAGCAAGGATGTCAAAGCTAGTTTGACTGAGGCAGCTGCATGGTTTTGTAAATATGCAAGCTGTTGCATGCACAAGTGTCCAGCTGTTGAAATAGTAAAATCTCTGCTTTTTTTTTTTTTTTTTTTTTTTTGAAGGAGGGTGAAGGGAAAGGGAAGGGAATCCCTGTTCCTATCTCAATAAACAACAAAGCAATTAACCTATAGCTGACATTCTCCTTTCTTACAATAGTTAATGGTTGAGAATTGGTAGCTTTATTTTTCCCTCACAATATATCTCAACTTCATGTAAGTGAGAATCCTATCCAAATAGTATTTCATCAGTGCATTTACCCTTTAGTGCTACCCTGTGGGGGTGGGGGAAGTAACTCTGTGAGGGCTTTCAATTTGCCCTCACCCTTCCTAGCATACAGTGGAGAGGGCCTTGACTTAAAGGCAGTGACTTGACTCTTCAGTTGCTCTACCTTTTTGAGGCACTAATTTTTTCAATTATTTGGTTTTGTATTTGACTGTTTCTCTTAGGAGAACATTTTGTTTCCTGCTCTGTTTGTAACTGGCTAGAATGTTCCAAAGTCAGCAGTCTAGAGCCCTGGGTGAGGAGTTTGGGTCGTGCTTTAAGTCACTACCACTGCTCTTAGGGACAAAAAACCTTTAGAACTTGGAGTCCTGCCTGTCCCATGCTGGAGAGCACAAGAACCTTGATGAGAATCCTACCAGAATTCAATTCTGCCTCTTGGAAATTAAGGTAAATATTTCCCTCCTCTGTCCACTGTCACTTGGTTGTTTTGGTTTTTTCAGTTTTTTCCTCTCTAATAGTTTGCACCTCAGTCCTGTCAACTTTGTTTAAGAAAAAAATTCCGCCTTATTTCATAATGTTTATGTACACGAGAAGATAACATTTATCTTACTCTTTTCCTGTGCTACAGATGCAATGGATCAACTTGAACAGAGGGTAAATGAATTTTTTATGAATGCAAAGAAAAACAAACCTGAATGGAGAGAAGAACAAATGACATCAATCAAAAAAGTAAGGATATCACAGGAGTGGGTCACATTTTTCTTTTGCAAATGAAGATAACATTAGGAAAAAACAGCTTATAATTGATGGAGACTTGAGCGTTCAGAACTGTGACTTCCCATGGGCTTTCACAGAGATGGATAAAACTACCCAGGAGGAGAAAAATGGCTGAAAGATTTCTTCAGTCAAGCATTTCTCTCAAGTTTTACTCAGTATTTGATAGCATTTTAAAAACTGTGATACTGAAATGGTGAGGAAACCAGGTACTAAATTTTCAGCTCAGACTTTTTGTTTCTGCTTGTGTGACATGAAATTGCGCAAGTTAATTGGCTTTCTTTGAGAGGATATTTTTCAAGCTTAGCTTCAGCATCTCCTGTGATTCTGCCTGTGCTCTTGTATGTTACACCTATGGTATATGTAGTTTTAGGGAGGGAGGAATAAGAAGATGGATGTGTTCCGTTTTATCCTTCAACACTCAGGCATTGGTAGTGGTATTGTTAGCAAGGTAGTCCATCATTTTGTCAGGAGAAACTCCTTTGTAGTCTCCTACACTTGCTACTTCAGCCCCTTATTTGGCCAAGGGTTTTTTTTTCCATGATACAAATAGATTTCTATATTTAAAAAAGAAAAAGTCAACGCTGACTTCACTAGAGTAAATGAAAAATTTGCTTTTGACTTCAGTTGAACCAAAACTTCAATTAGTTTTTGCCTAAGCAAGATACTGTTTAGTGAAAATAGAGAATAAAAAGGCATTTAAACCTGTTCAAGTCTGGAGTGAAAACATGTGTAAACATACTTTCTTTTTTTTCAAAAAAATTTGTCTGTGGATTTTCATTAGAGCAGATTTTAAAATTGGTTTGCTTTAGTCAAATTATTTTATAATACACTTACGGGTTACAGAAATCTATTTTAAAATAATTTAAACTATGAACTATAGACACCATGAACTGTATTTAACTGCAGTGCTGGAAAGGCCTCACCTCACAGCACTGTTTAGCATAATTTCGAAGGGTAGTAGTATCTGCAGTGGTTCTAAAGATCCATATGAAATAAAAGACATCATCTCATTTTGAGTCCGTAACCTCATGCAGTGTATAATAAAAATAAATCTCTTCTCTGGCAGCATTTCTTGCAGAAATCTAAATACCACTTTAGGAAGAAGTGTTCACATCTTGTAGTTTGACTTTTCCTAAGGCACAAACAGTAAATTAATATGTATTATACCTCTCATCTAAAATTTAGCGGATTTTTTTTTACAGTAGATTTTCACAGTCTTTCTGAAGACTGACTTTAATTTTTCCTTTTAACTTACATTTTGTACTGGATAACAGTAGCTTAAAATGACTGAAATTAATTAAGCTGCAGTCATAATTTTAAAAAAATTCTCTTTATAACAGGATTATTATAAGGCTTTGGAAGATGCAGATGAAAAAGTGCAACTTGCTAATCAGATATATGATTTGGTAAGTGGACAGAGGGCTTGTGGTGAGTTATCTAGATTTATGGCATAAGGAGTTCTAAACACTTTGGTAAGCACTACAATTGCGCTAACTGTACTGTTATGTCAGCTACATACAGTTATTTTTGCTGGCAAAACAAACATTTAATATTTTATTGACTTTTAAGAATTTTGTTGCTTTGGGTAGTGTCACATAAATACAGCATACAGAAATAATTTCAGAAGTATTAAGGTTCTCATGTATGTTGATTTTGGTTTATTTATTTTTTTTCTGAAAAGAGACCACAAGCAAGTTACTCTTCCTTATAGCTTATGAATTTTAAGGATATTTGTTTTAAATTTTCTCAGAACAGAAGCTGCAAGTCAGAGTGCACTAAAATATAGTAGACCTAAACCAAATATTTCTTGTCTGTTATAGTTTCACTTCATCTAACCAAAAGTTAGTTCCAAAAGTTGGAACTTAACCCCTCTCTCTTTGTTAGCTGGTAACTTCAAAAACCTGTTCAATTTTTAATAGTTTAGAGAAAGGTACATTCTGCTATATGACTACAGACGAAGAAAGCATTTGGAACAAAGTGTTTCTTTCAATGATACTAAGTTCAGGTGGGGTGTTTTGGTTAATTTTCAGCACCCAAGAGCATGTTATAGTTTACTCAAATGCACAGGAGTCTTTACAGTTTCAATTTAGAGACCCTTTTACTCAATACTTAAGTTTACTGATGTGTATAGTGACATACAAATTGCAATTCAGTAAACTTACAATTTCCCCAATGCAGCTCAACGTCTTCTAAAGTGCATGTCAGGTACTGTTCTTTCTCTTCCCCTTTCTATAGGCATACCCACAACACACCCCAAGTACTCTTAATCTTTTTTTCTCAAAAGAAACACTTAATGCTGTGTCTTGGAACATTGCCTGCAGTCAGAGGAGGGCTTCCAGCTGCTGAGCCATTACACAGCCTTACTGTATCCTGTGACTGACTGCACAGCTTAGGAGCAACAGCACTATTTTGGTGTGAGCTCTAGTATCTCTGCTGAGTTAGGGAAATGTAGGTGACCAAGAAGTTATGCTTCTGTGTGGTTTTATACGTCTTTAGTGCTGCATGGGAGAGAATTGCTGGAAGGGAAATATTTAGCAAGCCTAAGATTAAGGATGTAGATATTGATGTTCCAGAACTGGATGCTATTGTTGCTTTGCCTCAAAAACAGGTAGACCGTCATTTGAGAAAATTGGACCAGGAACTCGCTAAATTTAAAATGGAACTTGAGGCAGATAATGCTGGAATTACAGAAATATTAGAGAGACGTAAGTATGTGTGATTTTTTTTTTAATAACTTGGCAGATTTTGTCAATTTGCAAAATTAGAATATCATACACTTGTTAGTGGCTGGCAGTATTTGTGTTTTAAGCCGCATACTTTTCATCAGTCTGATTCTCAGATTTTAGTTCCAATCTCAATTTTTACCAGTGAAGTCAAAATATAGGTGAGTGATTAGAATATTTTTTTTCACACAACTCTTGCACTTGTGAATTGCTACGGTAAGGTCTGGAATTCTTTAAACCTGTTTTTAGTGACTGTGGATGTTCAGACATGTACTTCAGCCTAAGCTTGCCGCCTACCCAGTTGGAAGTGTACCATTTCTTACTCAGATTGATTGCCACCCAATTGAGGAGGGTCATTATTTTAGTTACAGATGTGGCATGTTGAGTAAAGTTAAGTACTTGGTGATTTTCTTTTTTTAAAGGGGGGAGAATGGATTGTTTTGTAATGGGCTAGCAAGGGAGAAGCATTTTGGGCAGGAAACCTGCATGCTTAATAAATCTAGCAATGCTGGTATTTAGAATGTGAACAAAAATGTGATGTGACAGCTTTTTGGTCAGTTTGGTATAGAAGAATCTGGTCTTTCTGTACAAATCAGCATTTAGACATCAGGTTCCGATGTGATTATGATAAATTTCCAAGTTGATTTAATTGCTGTGATTATGGAGCTAAGGAGCAGTGACTGTTCTCGTACCCAAGGATAGTGAAAAGTAACTGCAATCATTTGAGTAGATTAGGAGTAAATATTATTTCTTTGAACTTTGTGTAGCTGTCTCGTTAAAACTGGGAGGTTTTGGATATTTTGTTTGTAAGTGCTTTCAATGAACTAGCAAATATAGAAAATGACTTATTTTAGTTGGAATCCCAGCTGCAGTTTTAAGATGTGAAGCTACCGTCAGTTGAGCTCTGTGTTTGGTTAGGGAGGTAGGTAGAATGTCAAGAACTCAGAATCAGACTGCACGTTGCATCTCTAAGGTTGATGTTTTTGTTTTGTTTTGTTTTTTTTTTTTAATAAAGTGAAAAGTAGAAGCCTCTTAACACTTTTAGTTTTAAGAGTAGGTACATATTATTGAGGTTCCGCCAGAGGGCAGCCTTTGGACTCATTCATAACATGATTAATGTTCGCTCAGCCAAAATATCTCCTTATGCTTTGAACCATTTCTAGAATAATTTTCTTTAAACTTTTGTAATATACTCGTGTACTTTTTGAAAGCACTGACAAAGAGGTAAAGAAATTTTGAAGCTACGGATTTGGAAAAATGAATGTGAATTATTTTCTTGAATTGTCTTCTGTATAAATGTAAATTGGTAGGTATTGCAGCTAGTTCAAAATCTTTTTGCCAAAGATTGATACACAACCTGTTTTATTTTGTTCTAATAGAAATCTGGTCAAAGTCTCTCCTATACTGCGATCATTTAGCCTCATGGCTAATATTATAAGAAATGTTTTCTTAGATATAGATGATATAGATTTGCATTTGTGCCCACCCCCCACTTCTTTTCTTCTTTCTTTTTTTTTTTTTTTTTTTTTCTTCTTTGGATTGTTGCTCTGTATTTTGAATGTTAAGAAAATTTGGATACTGATTTGAAGCCCTTGCTGTGGAACGTTAGGTCATCTTGAAAGATGTTGCTAGTGGTTGTGCATTTTGACTCAGTGTGACAAGATGGACTCAGTAGGACAAGATGCCCTGTTAATACAGTTTAACTGTTACAATCTTCTTTTCAATTCATACTGGTGTAGATTGTCAGTACTTTTGGTGCAGCTTACTCCAACTGTCACAGTCTTGTGCGCAACTCATTTGAATAAGTGGCATGTTGGGAGTAATGTTGTTGTTTGTTCTCCTTACTGGCCTTGATTTTAACTTCTTGATTTCAGAAGTTGAACAGCAGTCACCAATTTTTATTTTAAAACTGTTCTTCTCACTGGCTCCTGGTTGTATGACAGGAAGGGTTTCAACTAGCAAAAATCCTTCTGATTAAAATAAATACAGCTGCATAGCAATGTGGTTAATATTATGAAGATTCATTTAGTACCTAAAAGTCAAAACCATGCCAGTGATATCTCTGAAATTTTCCTATCCTTTTTACTTCCCTCTTTAGGGTCTTTGGAGCTAGATACGCCATCACAGCCTGTGAATAACCATCATGCCCATTCTCACACTCCAGTAGAGAGTAAGTATCTGAGACTTAAAAACATGTCCACTTTTTATGTTTCTTTATTTTTTGTTGGGTATTATTAGGGAAAAAAATGTTAAGAACTTTTGATATGATAATAGGGTCTATTCAGAAGAAGTGCAAGAATGAAATAAATAAGGATTTGTTGATGGGAATTAGTTGAAAGTGCTGTTTTATTATGTCTAGTTATAGTTTGACATTCAAGCTGAGAAGGTTTTATGTTTAAGTTCCCTTTATTTGTTTCATTTAGAAAGGAAACACAATCCATCTTCTCACCATAGTACAACAGATCATGTTCCTGAAAAGAAGTTTAAATCTGAAGCTCTTCTATCTACCCTGACTTCAGATGCTTCTAAAGAAAATACACCAGGTAATCTTAATTGTCCTGCATTTTACTGCTTTTTTATTGGAAGAAGAGGAGCCCGGTTATATTTGTGAGTGTACTGTCTTTTGAAATCAGAGGCTCATATCCTTTCCTCTGGGATTTTCAGTCATTTGAAACATGAGAAATTGCAGGCATTGCTACTCATCTGTGTTGTCCATGAAGTGCATCAGCTTTGTTGTCATTTGACAGCTGCATGTGGGCTGTTTCTTTTTATTTACACTGCTTGGAAGAAGATAACCGTGCGGTTTCATTCAGCCAGTTGTAGAAATATGAGAGATCAATACATTGTTATTTTGGGAAAAAGAAACGCATGCAACAGTTTCCAAATTAAGGGAAAAGAATTTTCACTCTTTTTTTATTTAAAGGTTGGTCTGGCATGGCATTCGGCTACAATAAAATAAAATTCTTTCGCGTGTTGCCTGTTTCAAAAGAGGTGAGAAGTCTTTTTCAGTAGTGAATAAAAAACCCTCCACAACTTTCTGCCCATTTTGACAATCAGGGTGTTTCATAATTTCTTTTCTGAAAAGAAAAGGTTGTGAGAGGTTACAGTAAGTAAATGACCTTACATTTTGGAATTTATTGGTGTTCATGAGATTTAAGTAGTCTCCCTCGTATCCATTTTACTTCTCTTTTGAAGGAACTTCACATGAGATTGCAAATAAAATGTTTTGAGCAGCTGTCAATCTGTCGATGGCCGTAGAAATCTGTGTTGCATTAAAACTGTGATTCGTAGTTTTTAGAATTAAGATTGTTAAAAGTTTTACTTCAGAAACAGAATAGATGTACAGTCAAATTCTTACCCTCTTCTTGATGGTTACAATAGTCAGCACCATTTCAACAGAGATTGGTTTATATAGGCACAGCAGCTGCGTCTCTTCTTTGATAGCTGAATACGATAGTGTGGACTGTCTTTCTAAAAGGACTACTTGCACATGACGATAGGTGGGGAACAATTTTTTTTTTTTTTTTTGAAGCCAATACTGGCTGTGTCAAATGACGACTTAAACTTTTTTTCCAAATGGTCACAGTGGCCTGATGCATAAACAGAGTTCCTACTCTTTCACTGGTTGTCATATGTAACTCTTCTTAAAATGCAAAGGAATTTAGTTTCATTTTGAATTTCATAAATGTGTTCTGTTCATCAAGGGTGTCGAAACAGTAATTCATCATCCTCTTCAAACAATGCATACAATACAAACTCTTCTCAACCATTGGCATCATATAACCTGGGCTCATTATCTTCAGGATCTGGGGCCGGTGCAATTACCATGGCAGCAGCTCAAGCAGTGCAAGCCACGGCACAGGTAATGTCAAAACATTCTTGTCATTCTGCCATCTGCTATTAAGAAAGACTGGTGATATTTTTTTTTTTTTTAATCTGAATTCCCATGATCACTTTCAGCTGATGTGATTCAGTTCTCATATTACCATTTTTGTTTATATGCTACAGTTTTATCCTGTAAAACTTTCCTAAAGGGATAGCTTGTTTTTTAGGTTTTTCTGTACGATATTCTTACACCTTTCTACCACTTACTATACATCATTTTGTTAATAGGGTAACTAATGAACCTGTGCAAATCATTAGCAGTTAACAGTCTGGTGTATGTCTTCTGTAAGAGCTCTACTGTGTAATCTGATACAATATCAGTATTCCTTTCAGATGAAGGAAGGCAGGCGAACATCCAGTCTAAAAGCCAGCTACGAAGCATTTAAGAACAATGATTTTCAGCTTGGAAGAGAATTTTCATTATCCAGAGATTCAACCGGATATTCATCATCGGCTCTGGCATCTACATTAACACAGACATTAAATTCATCAACCACAGATTCACGAAGTGGCAGAAAAAGCAAGTAGGTTTTCTTACTTGTTGACTGCAATTATAGTTTTTAAGACATCTAAGCTTTCTTTTAAAGGGCATGGGCCATATTAGAAATAATTCATATTTAATATTGGGGAGGGAGGGATCAGCAGAAGGTAGGTATTGTCTCCTGGCCTTCTTTTGTTCAGGGCTTTCTTCTTTTGTTCTCTTCCTTTTCTTTAGGCAAACTTACTCCAAGATTTTAAATAAATGTCTTGATTTGCTTTTTCATCTGAGATATAGTCTGGTTTCTTCCCTCATTTTTCTTGTGTTCTGGAGAGAAGATTTGGCCTAATAGCAAATGTTGGGAATTGCTATGCAATGCTTTGTAGATGGTTTTGAAATATTCTGGAGATCTGCTTCATGCCACTTCTTCACAAATAATCACAATGCTTTCTGATGGCTGACTGTCTGTGACAGGAAACAGATTTAATCTTATTTCTGATTAAAAGGAAATTTAATAACATTTAAACACCACAATGTCACAACACAGTGACAAAAATCACAAGTTGTACTTGAAAGAGTTTGTCTCAAAATGCTCATCCCTTTAAACTGACTTATGTTTTTTTCTTCATACAAACTTCTGTGTGTTCACAGCTCAGTTATTAATTTTGTCTTGGAATCATTTTTCATCTATGGATATCTTGGGTGTCAGGTCTGACCTATAAGCAAAAGCATAGAATTTGTATTCTGGCACTGTTCCTGTGGAGTGATTGGTGATGCTTGAGTGGAGATTAACACTGAATCAGTCATCTTCAAACACAGTTATCTATTGTACATGACATATGATATTATTTATATGTAAATTCTTGTTTTATTGGTAACATAATTTTTATGGGGACTTTATGCCAAGACTGTTGATGGAAAATTTTGTGAAGAAAAACATTCATTAAAGCCGTTTGGCAGTTTAAAACTGTTAAGTTCCATTGATTAGAACAGCATGTCTTGCATTTGTAAGCTGGAGAGACTTGGTTCCTTTTCCAAAGAGCATTCAAGATGTCCATTTCAGTTCTTGCATTTGTTCAGTGAAACCTGTTAGGGAATGGTGCTTTGGGATGTACATACTGCAGTACTTGTTTTGTGATCCTTTCACTTGGCAGGAAATTAATTTAAAATATGATATACTGTTTTTTTCTCATTTTTTTTTCCTTTTCTTCTTTTCCTTTTTTTTTTTTTCTTCCCCAGAAGCAACAACAAATCCTCAAGTCAGCAGTCCTCATCATCTTCCTCTTCTTCATCTCTGTCATCATGTTCTTCTTCATCTGCACTGGCACAAGAACTGTCTCAGCAAACAGCAGTAATACCAGAGTCTGATTCTAATAGCCAGGTTGACTGGACCTATGATCCAAATGAACCACGATACTGCATTTGTAATCAGGTAAGGATGGCTTCCAACCTGAAATATAACTAGAGCTGCTCTTTCACTGTAGTTGAACTGCCTTCTCTGATTGCTAATTCAAAAATATTCTATTTGCATTCTTTTGAAATTTGGATCTGTTTTTATTTAATTACCGGTGATATGAATAATGAACTCAACTGTTGAAGATAGAAACAAGCAAGTTTTCCAGTGATGTGACACATCTGGAGAGTTTCAAATCTTTTAATGAAGACTTCAGGAATAATTAAATTAAAAATTGAACAGGTTCACAGTGAATTTAGTTAAAATTTTAAGTTAGTAAGGAATTAGACTGGTTTCTCTTACTTTCCTTTTGAAAAAAAAACAAAGCAAACAAAACAAAAGCCAAAAAACTCCACACCAAAAAAACAAAACAAAACAAAACCACCAAAAAAAACAGGAAAACAAAAACCTAGTTTTGTAAAAGCCACCTGGAAACCTGAGAGACTGGATGACAACATGAGAAACTTGGATTTAAAAACACCTGTTCTTACTTTAAACACTTTTAAGTGTGTTGACTTTTTTTAGAGTTTATAGAACTCTGTAATTCTCATGAAAGTATTTGATTGTTTCAAATATAATGCTTGAAATTGTCATGTATGCAAGGGAGATGCCAGACAACATAATTTTGAAAACTGGACTGATAATGCACTGAACACTTGTTTAGACCAAAATGTGCTTTCTTCAGATTTTGAATGCTGACCTTTTTTATCCAACCCGAAGTATGCAGAAATACCTTTTTTTTGCATAAAAGATTTTTGAAAATCATTTTGCTGTGAACATGTGCTTTGGGTTGCACAACAAAAGAAAAATCAAAATACTGTTGCTGCTGTTAATGGAAAAACTCAAAGGAAGAAACCTAACCTTTAGCCTTTTGAAAACATTGATTGCTTTTAATTAATAATATAATTAATAAGTGTTTTTTTTCCTTATTTACTAGGTATCCTATGGTGAAATGGTAGGCTGTGATAACCAAGATGTAAGTAAAAAAGTTCCAAAAGTTCATGAGAGGCTTGTGCATGTAACTGTGGCTTGCAGAAGTTACTTTTCTGTAGAGTTGAGGTTTTTTTAGAGTAATGTGCAGATGAGTTGAACCATTCTTCAGGAAACTTCTCGTCTGTCTCCACAGTTCAGGTTCTTTTAGAAGGCTTCACCCTTAACTGGGAAGTTTGACATCTTTAAAATACCATTTACTTCTAGGAACCTTTAGCTGTGTCACTACCAATATAAGTTGTCTCCTTCAAAGAAAAAGGTTTTAAAAGAACAGGTGAATGTAATCATGCATTTATTGAGATACTACATTTAAACAAAATTGAGTGATAAGATTACTGTTGTGTCACTTAGTGTTGTCAAACTAAGTATTTTGAAGCACAGCATACTACTTTTGCTCAGTTATGTGAGTCCATGTATGAATCCTAGAATTTTTACTGCTTTCCTTAATCTGTTGAGTGTATATTAGGGGCTGAGATCCTCCTCCCTTCTCATTTTGTCCCATGACTTTGTGTGAAGAGCAGAATCCATGCTTTTTATTCATGCTTCATTTGCATAGAATTGTTTTTGTGATAGACATTTCGAAAAGTGAAAAAAAAAAAAAAATCTCAAACCCTCTCTTTAACTCTGTTTTCATAGTGCCCTATTGAGTGGTTCCACTATGGATGTGTTGGACTGACAGAAGCACCAAAAGGGAAATGGTACTGTCCACAGTGTACGGCTGCAATGAAGAGAAGAGGCAGTAGACATAAATAAGTTTCTTCATCTGGAAAACACATTACATACTAAAGGTTTTTTAGAGAACTTGGGAGGGGGAGGAACCCCTGCTACCTTTCCTTGCAACCACTTAAGGGTTAACATAGCAGTCATAAGATCTTGAACAATTGATTTTGCTAGTTGTGTTTTAATATTGTAAGTAAATTATTTATGCACATTGATGTGCTACAGATACTATTCCAATGAGCCTTGGATTGTTCCAGTGGCCAACATATGCAGACATTTGTACTATAAAACCATTTTCTCTAAGCAGTGGGCATTCTACAATTACTCAATCTTCAAAAAATTCCAGTAAGTCAAGATTTTAAATGTATGTTTTATATTCAACAGATATATTCTGCTGCATGTACTGTACTCAAGAGCTGTTATGTAACACTATGTATATAAATGGTGCAAAAAGTCAGTGCTTCTGGAAAAAAAAATAATGAGACAATGGTTTTTAAAATGCCTTTATAGCTTTGGTTCTTTATGAAACTTATTTCAGCAGGCTGAAGAAAATGGTTCTTGTATACAGCGGGCTGTTGTCCTCTAGGGTACTTGAGTATGTAAAAACAAAAAAAAAAAGCTGTAGAATAAAACAAACTTGTGCCATTAGTCTTTATATGTTTCTGCTCCAGAGAAGGTGCAGGCCATAAGAGGAAAAAAAGGTGTTAAAGTGATGATAAATTTTTATACCAAATGTGTTTATTTTTTTGTGCAAGTAATCCTTTAAATTTGAATTGTATTAGGTGTTAAAATAAAACAACCTCAACTCCTCAAATTAATGTTTTCTGTACGTTTGTTAAAAAAAGGGTTGTCCCCGAACTGGTTTCAGAAGAATATAGCTAAGTTTGCATAAGAAATTGCTACACATGACCCATGTGAAGGATTGTTGTACAGGAGGACATTTTTCTGGGGGGTGGATAACTCATGCATATACAGGCAAATGTTGAAATATCATTTGCCTTGTTGTCTCTGTCTCCAGGTGATAAGTGGCACCTACCTAAATGGGCGTAAAAGTTCTGTTTTTCATGAGGTTGGGAAAAAAAAAAAAATCCTTGCCATGTCAAGAGATACTTACAGGCAGGATTGCCTTCCTGTTTCCATGGCATGGATGGAAATAGGAAGGGAAGAAGAAAACCATGGTGTGTTCTGCAGCTGCCATATTCTTTCCTGGACAGTGGTTTTCATGTAAAAACCAACTCATGGTCCAGGAAAGAGGAAAGGGAGAAATAGTCATCCTACTGTAGAAGCCCTAGGGTAACAGGAATGATCGTGTTGGGAAACCCAAATGCAGGCCCATAAATGGTTGGATCTGTTAGTTGTACATGTAGCACAGGATCAGAAAACCGATCTTTAGAACCTTGACCATGAATATAATGGAAAGATTTTCTATATTCGTTCCTCACATGCTAATTTTGGAAATTCTTTGTAGATTTCGTTTCACTGGCGATCTCCTTTTGTTGTTTTTTGTATGGCTTTTTCATGTAGAAGCACTGAACAGAAACAAGATCATTACTCCCTTTTTCTTCCTCCTTCCACTACTGAAAAAATACATTTTCCCTTTGGAATAAAGATTTTAGTTTAGCACTGGCTTGCTTTTTGGGCTGTCAGGCTGGAAGATCATGACCATGGTAGCTTTCTAAACCCATAGAGAGGGGGAGCAGAGGCAGAGAGAAGCAGGGTTTCAAAGCATGACTCTGCAGATAGTGTCAAGGAAATAAAAGGGGTTAGGCTCATTACTAATAGGAGTCCGTGCAGAAAATTCAGGCTTTACTTAAACTAAAATGAAACCAGACTTGTGTCACAATGTTTATTTAAAAGGGAAAAAAGTAGGCGTTTTAAAACCATGAACTGGGTAAAAGTAGACATGTAAGGAAAATGTGATTATGGATGATAAATAGACTTTGGTAAAAGAATAGGAAAGAAGTTGGTGAAAATAAACAGCAAAGAGCAGTGTAACTAAGGTTCCATTAAAACAGGCAACTCAACTCACTGTGTATTTCTGTGGAAATCTCAGTCTAAAAAAACACTCAAGGAGTAGAATATCTGGTTTTAAGTGAGGCTATTGAGACAATAGAGATAACAGAAACTATTTGTTCTGTTGGAAACTGGTGCCATGCTATGAACTGAAGTTAAATAAACAACAGGTAATCTAGACTCCCCTTGGATTGAATATTTGTCTCCAGGACTAAGAAGTAAATCCATTAAGAATTAAGACCATATAGAGCAAAATCCTTCACTGGTGGTAACCATACCTAAGACAGTGCAGAGTCTGCAAATCCAAATAAAAATTTAAGTTTTTAGTGTGAGCATTGATTTGCTGTTTCATTGGGCAACGTCAATTATTTTTTCATGGAGGAGCTAGTTAAAGAACTCACAAGACGAAAAAAACCTTTGTGCTCATTAGTATTTTGTGTCTAAATTAAGAAAAGAGAAATGGACAAATGCAAAGAATGTGGAAAAAATGCAATACATGTCAAAGGCAAAGAACAATAAAACCTGTACATGCTTTTGTTTTGTTCTAAACAAGAAGCCTGTTAGAGATCCTTAAGGGTCATCACATTATTATGGTGCAAAAGCCACTGAAAACTTAAAAAACAAGCAAAATTATTTCTTGACTATGCAAGAAGTTAGATTTGAATACCAGGGTGCCTTCTGGAGGTTTCTTGAGGATTGCTCTCAAAGTACGGCACCTGTAGAAATGTGTCTGCAACAAATTGGTGGGACCAAACCTGCCTGAGAGCAGCCCTGTGGAGAAGGACTTGGGGTATTAGTGGATGGAAAACTGACTGTGAGCCAGCAATGTGGGCTCACAGCCCAGAAAGCCAACTGTCTGGAGCTGCATCAAGAGAAGTGTGGCCAGCAGGCCGAGGGAGGGGATTGTCCCGCTCTGCTCCGCTCTTGTGAGACCTGACCTGGAGCGCTGTGTCCAGCTCTGGGGCCCCCAGCATAAGGAGGACATGGAGCTGTTGGAGCAGTTCCAGAGGCGGCCACGAAGATGGTCAGGGGGCTGGAGCACCTCCCTTATGAGGGCAGGCTGAGAGAGTTGGGGTTGTTCAGCCTAGAGAAGAGAAGGCTCCGGGGAGACCTTTTATAGTGGCCTTCTAGTACCTGAAGGGGACATATGGGAAAGATGGGGAGAGACTCTTTATCAGCAAGTGTAGCGATAGGATGAGGGGTAATGATTTTAAACTGACAGAAAGAAGATTTAGATTAGATATAAGGAAGAAATTGTTCACTGTGAGGGCGGTGAGGCACTGGCACAGGTTGCCCAGAGAAGCTGTGGCTGCCCCCTCCCTGGAAGGGTTCAAGGCCAGGTTGGATGGGGCTTTGAGCAACCTGGTCTGGTGGAAGGTGTCCCTACTCAAGACTGGGGGTTTGGAAAGATTCTATATATGATATATAAAATAATGCTTAATTCTCAATTTACCTACATCTGGGGACTCTGAAGTAGCATTTGCTGTGTAGTAATGTGATTTTGGAGTTATCTAGGTAATTCTATGGAAACATCAGCTCATTGCCCAGCAGCAGGTCAGACAAGTGCTAAGAATGACTCAGGAGATAAAGAATAAAACAGAAAACAGTTTTACATTGTGTAAATGTATGTGCACTTGGGTCTTAATGTAGTATAAAATTATGGTCCAGTCCTCTGCAAAAATGTAGCAAAACTAGGAAAGGCACAAATAGGAGGAGCAAAGTAGTCAAAGCCATGTAATGACAACACATTTGAGAAGGAGCTGAATTGTCTGGGACTCTTCTGAATGGGAAAGAGGCAGCTCAGTGAGGATGTAACAGGGATCTGTAAGTTAAAGAACTCTGTGAAAAAGGTGTGTCTTTTTACAGAAGTAGTAATAGGGAGGTAGCCAAAATGAAAAAAAAAGAGCGGCATTTTTTCACATATGGCATGAATCATTTGTAAAACTGTCCATATAGGTTACGTGGGTGTAGAAAGTCACTGAGACATCAGTGGAAGAAAAGCCCATGGAGGCATAAAATGCAAAAACTCGCTGATGACTTATCACTAGAAATTAAGAGTTCATAACCAGGGAAGTGTTCCTGGATGCCTGTGACAGTCCTACAGTCCTCTGGCATACACCACTGAGCGCTGAGTGCTACAAGACACTAGGTTAGGTGACCCTTTAGCATTATGCAGTGCAGCTGGTTTTAGTTTCATCTCAGTGCTCCAGCATTTGGGTGAATTTTTGAGAAGAGGATGTATTTGTAGTACCACAAGCTAAGAAGCAATGTGCTAAGCACTGTAACAGAACAAAAAGTTGTCTTTGCACTGTAAACTGTATTGCCAGTTTGCATTGTGAAGAAGTAACATTTTTTTCTCAGCTGTAGGTTTTATTTATTCTAGGTCTGAAATGAAAAAGGAAATACACTTGCGCTTTCTGCTTTGAAAATCCTGCTAGGTTGTTTCTCTGTATAGCACAGAATAATCTGCATTCTTGTCTTCTTTATTGAACTTTGCAAAATGTTGTTCAACCACACACACTAAAGATTAGAAATTCTGACATTTGTTCTCCCCCTTCTGTTCCACCTCACCAGGGAAGTACTTTCCACAGTGAGTTGGCTTTTCTTGGCAAGTTTTTTCATCTCCCACTTGATCCTGTTGGAATGTTTGGATCATGCACTTTTTGTGCTTAATAGATGTGACAGGTGACAGAAAGAGGACCCAGGTGGCCTTCACCTTCAGAGCAGTGTTTTGCACTTACACTAAAAATCTCTGAGAAGCAGAATTGCAAGAGGGATAAGAGTCTGGCTTTTTACACTCTCTTAAGGGTATATTCATATACATGAATAACTAAAGTTAGGCCACACTGTATGAACACTGTCTCTGCAGTTCTGTTACTCTTGCCAGGATTGCCTAAAATGTTCTGAGAATAATGTAACTAAACCAAGAAAAACGCCACACTTCAGTATATCTACACCAACTGACTGTAATATTCCTCTAGCAGTTTCAAATAGATATCTTGCTTTTACACTCGCGTGATACTCAGCAGCTTTTCTCTCTAGATACATCTTATATTTAGGAGATATTTGATCATGCAAAGGTTGTCAACAAGTTGCATGATTACTTACAGACTTGTCCTTGCATACATCATGTCTTATATTTTAGAAAAAACAACAGTTTCCTACATTAGTTCATAATAGATGTAAAGTCTTAGAAAAAGTCAAGAAAATGAAAAATAATATTAGGATGCACAGCTACTTTAACATTTTTAAAGCCCTAATAGTTATTTGTACCTTGTACCTTATATTATGAAAACTTCTGAGTGTTTTAACTGCTCTGTTCCTTTCTTAATACTTATTCAGCAGTGCCATATACGTTGAATCAAATCTGTATGTCCGTATTTATGAAACTAGCTACTTCCAGTTAAGAAAAGTTTTACTGAAGTTTAAGAGTACAGTGAGAGGATTCTTAAATTAAATTAAGTAGATTCAGTTGTTTGGCTACATTTTGTATATTTTTTCATAAAAGTAACAAATTTTTTGGTAATCCTATGTATAGTTTTGTTGCTGAACACAGATTTATTTATTAGGTTGACAGTTAACGTGATTTTGCTAATTAGGATTATACTAAACCTTTCTTTATAGAAGAATAAATAAAATACACTGGATTTGCACACATGAGAATTGGTGAAACAGAAATAGGAGAGCGATGGAAAGATAATTTCATATTGTTTCCACCTGCGAAATTGTGTCCCTATAACTTCAAAGCAAGTTTTACTATTTCTTTTCAGGAAAAGCTGTGTGGGATAGATGCTTGGATAA